CTCGGAGAAAGTTGGAAAGGCAACGTCTAGAAGCCTTTCGGCGTTTGTACGCTGTTCTTGAGACTTCGGGGAATACAATTCTGTCCACCAACGATGCAAAGAAATGGAACCAATTTTGAGCAACACGCGTATTGCTAGATAGCAAGAAAGGTGAATGCTCTATAACCTTGGCATAGGGTATCCACATATAATACGTTTTGATTCTGAAATTCATTCATCTTTTAGGTTAAAATAGAAATATCAACTCGAAAGACGTCCGCAATCAGCTTTGTATTAACAAAAGAAACTAGAATATATAAAAGAAATATATTTTTTCGACAATTAATAATTTTATCAATTATCTCGATATTAAGTATTATACAAAAGTCGTCATTACGTTTTCAGAATTTCCTATTTAGATATTGTATGAACGTTACACAATAGTCATCATCATCGAAAACCAGTTGACACGTGATTAAATTTTATGTAATATATTACAAGTTAAATTACAAGTATGTACGTACACATCACATTCATATATAAATAATATTTTAAAAAGCAGGTTTACATTATGTGTCACTTGGAGTAATGTTTACCGATAATTGCGTACGTTAATGGCGCAATTTATATGTTCCATAAATAGTTATAATGATAGTAAATCTCGCCCGATAAGCTGATAAATACTACCGTTTCGTACTATTTATCCAAGATCCCCATTTTAAAATCGAATAGTATTACCTGGTACTATCCATTGTTTCAGTGGTTTCATTGAAGATGGGTACTTTATGAGGTAAGTTATTATTTTTAGGGATACTGCAAGCAATGCAGTAGCTGACGAATGTGATTTACCCTCTGAAACTTCATATGATACGTACAGAAAGCTCAGCAATTGTTTCGAAAATCCAAAATCTTTCAGTTCAATTTAGAGGCAAAAATTTTCAGAACTTTGTCGATAAATTTAGTGCTTTTATATAAAGAACAAAGTTATCGGCGGAATTTCGAAAAAAAAATATTGTCTTCACGTTGATTTTTTACATCATAGAAAGATTTTCACATGTTTTCTTTTTTACATTTTTATGAATCTAACTTTTAATAAAATTCTTGCATAACCCCATAATCTACTCGTATATACAGTATACTCTTAATAAAATGGAGGGCTATTTAAAATCTTGATAATCTGAATTTGATTTCAGTAACAAGTAAATCCCAATAAATTGAAATTTGCTAATGAAATAGATTATTTTATAAAGTCAATCTGTCGATATTCCTTCATTGAATTTCGTTATGGATAATAAACCGTTATGCTTGTAGAATGTAGTAAGCATGAAGGCAATCTTAGCTTAACGGAATGTCAAATTATACGGATGACTGGATATCCAATGATTACGAGTTTATATTAATAAAGATAATGCGAACTAGAATAACGAAATCTATTCCGCTGATTTAAAAGTTCTCGCAGAAACGTAAAATCTCCATCATTGGCCACGAGTACGGCACTATGTTTTATCGGTACTATTTGCAAGAAACTTGCTTTCATATTTAGCTCTTCTTTGGATATGTAATCAAGTGATGTAATCGTAATGTGACCAATAGGAAATGCAGGAAGGGAAGTAAAATACGAAATCTCAGTCGCACAATAGAAATTCTCTCTACCTTTTTGAATCTAATAATTTTTTCTTATATATTCTTCCATTCTTAAAACTTGCTAACTTGTAAATGAAGAAGCTGAGATTTGTGATTACATCGTTAGATTGAGTGCCGCTCAAAATCCTCATTTAGATATTAATAGATTTTTAAGTTGGATTACAGAAGATTTTGATGCTTTGGTAAGATAATCGTTAATCGTATACCACTCATTGGTTTCTCTCAAATTTCTTTGGCGAATTTTTATAAAGTTGGTCGTTTGGAAGTATTTTACCCCGGGATATTTTGAAAGAGATTATAAGGACATTGAAACCCCACTGCAATTTGATTCCGCACTTGTAAAACTGCTTTATTGGCAAGCTGGATTAATCTGCTTGATCAAAGGTGTTATCTTTATGATGAAATTTCACGACAAATGTGATGATGAAGGTAGAGCTATGGTGATGATGAAAATTCACGGTATTGGTGAAATTATGAGTGGATATAGCCCGATCATGTGGATTGCTGGAGATGGTTATCGGAATACTGAAGGTGGTTTCCTGTTTACTTTTGGAGATCTGAATTATTGCGCTTTGTAAAAAGATATGGCCTCTGCAGACCACTATGTCATGTGGGAATCAGTGATTCTATCGATTTTAAGAATTTTATCGATTTCGAAGAAATATAAACGTAATCGATCGAAAATATAAAACCTAAAATATCAGAAATTTTCCCCGATCATCATCACAAAAATCATGTGGCCACATCTTTTTGCAAA